TCATCCTCTCCTAGTAAAAAATAGATCCAGGCAGACCATATGTTTTTACAGGTAATGGGGATAGAAGATGAATTGAAGAAAGAAGTGACAATCAAGACATTATAGAGAAACGCCTGCAGACCTCTGAGGAGTTATTAGAGTTAAAGTGAAAATCAACAAGCAAGCCCAACACATATGAATGATCCCAAGTCTTTAGTGCTTACCAGATGTATTTCTTTTTATTTTGTGAAACATCCATTTACATATATATAGATAAAATTATATAAAATATTTTAAAAGAAATTTTATTAATGATTTTTAATGTGATTCCTGTAATTCTCTGAAAATTCAATAGTGTTTGATTCCAGTATCCATTGGTACATATTTAATAATTCTTCAGGATGAAGGAATAGCAACCACCCATCACTTACAACCAAAAATTCTCCCACAAACACTATATAAGGTAAAGTATTGACAGAGATGAGACCTCATACTTATCAATATTGCCAATACAATGGTGTCTAGGAACTAGTTCCAAGGACAATCAATCAGTCTGGGTTTGCTTACTACATATAATAGATGATTTCTGTGTTGTCCTGTCTTATTTAGCAAGTCTATAGAACTTTACTAGAGAACTCCAACACAGAGAGAGAATTAAAAGACTAAGAATTTTAAATACAAGCCAGCTATATACCTTGAGCTGAAATGGACTGGTATTGGCCATTTTGAATCTGACAATTATATGATGTACTAAAGTGGGAACAGAAAATTCAAGAGGAATGGCAAAATATTCACCCTCAAAAAGAATATTTAGAGATCTATCTTGATGTATAATTCTGTCCATGATATGGTAATATGAATACATCTATAAGAAAGACTAGTTAATAGCACTATTATTCAATTTGCACACTAACCACTAACGCCAATGATGATGAAATTCTACCAACTTTTTTCAGTATGAAATTGATCAAACTTGCAATCAAGACATATTGATAATTACTGGTGATTTGAAAATGAAGGCTGGAAAAAAAAAGAGAAAGGAACCATACTTGGAAACTATAGCCTTGGTAATAGAAATGATGCTGGAGATCGCATGATAGAATTTTGCAAGACCAATAACTTGCAAATATTTTTTTTTAAACATAAAAGGTTACTATACACGTGGACCTCACAAGATGGAATATGAGACAGTGGGAAAGCTCCACAAGTCAAAATTAGGCCAGGGGCAGACTGTGGAAAAACCATAAATTGTTCATACAAAAGTTCAGGAAGCTGAAAAAAAAAAGAAAAAGAGACAAGTCCATGAGAGCCAGAATATGACCTTGGACATATTCCACCAGACTTTATAGGCCATTTCAAGAACAAATTTGATGCATTAGATGCATACTAATGACCGAAGACCAGAGGAGTTGTGGAAGGACATCAAGAACATCATATAGGAAGAAAGCAAAAGGTCATTAAAAAGACAGATGAGAAAGAAAAGACCAAAATGGATGTCCTAAGAGACTCAGAAACTTCCTCCCCGGTGAAGAGATTAGGAAGTAAAAGAGCTGAACAGAAATTGCAAAGGGCAAAGAAAATTTTAAATAAAAATACAAAAAGGAATAATATGCTCAGCATTTCTTAAGCTAAAATAACTGAAGAAAAAAATCAAGTCTTGACTTTCAATATTGAAGGGTTCCACAGGCAAATAGTGAATGATGCAGAAAGCATCAAAGAAGATAGCAGGAATGCAGAGTCATTGTACCAAACAGAAATGGTTGATGTTCAACCATTTCAAGAAGTTGTATATGATAAACACACACACACACACAAAAACAAACAAACAAACAAAACAACAACAAAAAAAAACCAATGGTACTTAAGGAAGAAGTCAAAGTTGCACTCAAAGCATTGGCAAAGAGCAAGGTTCCAGGAATTGACAGAATACAAATTGAAATCTTTCAACAAACTGATGCAACACTGGAGGCATTCACACATCTATGCCAAGAAGATTAGAAGATAGCTACCTGACCAAATGACTAGAAGAGACCCATATTTGTGCCCATTCCAAAGAGAGGCAACCCAACAGAATGCGAGAATCATCAAACAGTATCATTGTAAATTATTTTAAATATTAGTAAAATTTTGCTAAAGATAATTCAAAGACAGCTGCAATGATACATCAACAGAGAACTGTCAGAAATCCAAGCTGGATTCATATGAAACTAGGGATATCATTGCTGATATCAGATCGATATTAGTTTAAAGCAGAGAATACCACACATATGTTTATCTGTGCTTTTTTTTTTTCAGTTATGCAAAGACTTTCAACTATTTGGATCATGACAAGCTATGGATAACATTGCGAAGAATGAGTATTCCAGAACACTTAATTGTGCTCATGGGGAACCTGTATGTAGACCAAGAGGCAGTGATTCAAACAGAACAAGGTGATACTGAATGGTTTAATCAGGAAAGGTGTATGTCATGGTTGTATCCTTTCACCATACTTATTCAGTCTGTATACGAAGCAAATAATCTGAGAAGCAGGATTATATGAAGAAGAATATGGTATTAGGATTGGAAGAAGATTCATTAACAACCCACTTGCTGAAAGTAAAGAGGACTTAAAATATTTACTAATGAAGATTAAAAACTATAGGTTTCAGAATGGATTGCACCTCCATGTAAAGAAAACAAAAATCCTCACAACTGAACCAATAAATAACATTGTGAAAAATGAAAATAGTGAAACTATCATATGCTTCATTTTGTTTGTTTCCACAATCATCAGTAATGGAAGCAGCGGTCAAGAAATCAAATGACATATATTACATTAGGGAAATCTGCTGCACAAGACCTCTTTAAAGTGTTTGAGAGTAATGACATCAATTTGAGAACTAAAGTGCCCTAATGCAAGCCTTGATATTTTCAATAGCCTCATATACATGTGAAACTTAGACATTTAATAAGGAAGATCATAGAAGACTTGATGTATTTATTTGAGTTATGGTGTTGGAGAAGAATGTTAAAAGTGCCATGACTGCTAGACAAACAAACACATCTGTGTTGTAAGGAGTACAGCAAGAGTGCTCCTTAGAAGCCAGTATAGTGAGACTTTGTCTCTCATGCTTCAGTCATGTTATCAGGAAGGATCAATCCCTGGAGAAGGACATCATGCTTGGTAAAATTGAGGGTCCTCGAAAAAGAGGAAGACCCCAATGAGATGGATTGGCACAATGGCAGCAGCAATGGATTCAAGTGTAACAATGATCTTGAGGTTGGTGCAGGACCAGGCAGTATGTCATTTTGTTGTGTATAAGGTCAGAACCTATTTGATGGCACCTGACAACAACAATATACCTAAATTGTCATCATAATCCCTTATCAGTATCTCTATGTACAGTAAAATTATATAAGGTTCAGTGAAAAGATGATATCTAAGAAGTCTGAAGTTCTATCTTATTTTACAGTTTTGAAATATTAAGATACAATACTGGAATGAAAAGAAAACAGCATTTGGAATGTTACAATAATAAATCAGTGCTGTATAGTGGGGACAGCTACAAAGACACGGAGCATGAGAATTCTGTCTAGAGGCCTATCTGAAAGTTAGATTAATTTGGTTCCACTTATGGCTCTAATTCTATACTTATAGAAATAGAAAAGAGAGTAAGAATCTACATGCAAAGAGAAATATACCAGGTGGTAAGTTAACAGGAGAGTTCAATGGCATATGTTACCTTGATGGACTTTGATATTCTCATGGATAACACTCAGGAAATGAATAAAATGGCAGCTTAAATAGATATCAATTATTTTTTTAAATGGCTTCAAACTTTAATAAATAAAATAGTGTGATTTTTGCCTCATCATAAAAATATAAACCAAGTGGTGGATATATTTTTTAATAGAATTATATCTGATTATTGTTGCACAAAATACACAGTCTGCATGTACCGTTATCTATAATTATCTGGTTTTTAAAGTGCATTTGAACCATAAAATGCATAAAACAAAATAGGCTGATTAACAAATTATTTCATGAACTCTCTATATTTTAACCACTCCTTGAGACACTAAGATAAAGAGTGTGTAAAACCACGGAAAATTCTTCCTGATGCAAACTTTAAGAACTAAATAATGGCCTGTATAGTATTGCTTATTGCATAAGAAACTCCTGGGAACCTTTCTCAACTTTATATAAGCAACAGACAATAAATAGGTCCTGTCTTTAAAAAAGATGTAACTGATCCTTATACTCAGTCTCAAAAAGGAGCCCAGGAGTTTTCACTTGTCATCAGATTTTCCTTGCAGGAAGGGAACTTTATCAGAGGATCTGGAATTATTTCTATAGAAGTTTTCTCCCCCTCAAAAAGTAGTCAGTCTTAAATCTAAGGGATTTTTTTTTTTTTTTTTAAATCCTGCACAGACTCCTAAAGTTCTCTATAGAGACAAGTGGACTTTTGCCATTTTCATCTTTGTGATTCTCCCACCTGGGTTTGCCCCTTCTACTCTGTGGGAATATCACATGCAGGAAACTGGAAGTCCACCTATATGAAGTTGCCAACTACCTTTTCATTTCTCAGTCAAAGGTGGAGAGAGGGAACATTGGAACAGGACAGTCAGCTCAGAAATTGCATGGCCAACATGACATTAACCATGGTCAAGTCCTTCCTTGAATGATCCTTAAATTATAAAACAAACTTTTTGAGACACATTGATGTTAATATTTGACTAACAACAGGGAATGACGTTCTTTCTTTTATTCCAGACCTTAATAAAAAGAAGCTGATTAAGAGTGAAAGCTAACTTCTCTCTGGGCATATTAAGGACCCAACTTTATCCTTGATCATTTCTTGCTTACGTGGAGTAGAAGGTGGCCCTATGCCCTGTGCTCAGGTGTCAACTGGCTGCATTTAGTGATGCCAGAATAAGGACCAGATTGGTCATGGATCACTAACAGTTTATTCACGATCATCATTTTCTTCTTCTCTGTTTTCTGGTAATATTTTTACAAATACTTTCCAACTTTTTAGGACCATTTAATCACATCAAGTCAAGCCTCCTGGGATCCACATCGGATTCAAACCTCAACAAATACAGCACCATTAATAAGATTCCACAGCTTACTCTGAACTTTTCAGATGTCAAAACAGAAAAAAAGAATACATCCCCTCCTTCTTCAGATAAAACCATTATTGCACCCAAAGTTAAAGATCGAACACACAATGTGACGGAGAAAGTTACCCAGGTAGGACATGGTTTCATTTTCAATTTCAACTGTTTGGGGTGTTCTTTTCTAGACTACAAAACACATTTTTACATCTTAGACAATAATAAATGATTATCAATAACGGCAAGCCTCTTATTTGCACTTCTATTTATCTTGAGATGTTGAGTGACCCATAATGTAACTGATAAATGAAGGTATATGCTGGGATTTTATCTACTACAAGAATAAGCAAAAATGGGCTAACTTGGTATTGTTGTTTTTGCTGTAGAGGTGGTTTGCTGGCTATTTATCATGTTTGGACGTTTATTGCTTTACTGCCAACTCTCACATCATTAAAGTATGCTTTTTTCAATGTAATGGATGTATCTATTGAAGCTTTAAGTGACTAATTGGGACATCCTCTTAACTGTGGCCTCCTTTTTTGCACTTAACTCTCCTAAGTAGAGTCAGATCTCTGTCAGTTAACTTAGGGGAAAAGCTGCCCACGGTAATGAAAAGACTAAGTAAAACAAGGTGCTACTGGAATAACATTCTACTGTTTTTAATAAACATTGAGATTTAAACAAGGGTAAAAGGTACTACCTAGCAAGAATCCTACTGTAAAGAATAGATTAAAAGGATTTGTACTTTTTGTATCAGAATACCCACCTAAGCAGTAACCACCTTTTGCTTGTAATGCATTTACGTTATTGGGAATGCATGACTCCGAAACTTGTGTCAAGTAGACAGTTCTTGTATAAACAATTTACTTAATATATTAGCTTAGCAAAAATTTTCATAAGGCACCCACAGCATAATGGTAAACTTGACCCCAGTCTCTAGAAAGTATTTAGTATTTTGAATTAATGAGGTGGTTTTTTTTGTTTTTGTTTTTTGTAATTGTAATCCATTAAAACAACACGATAGTGCTGTTGGTAAATAATATCTTATGTATGATCTGAAATAGCTACTTAAAGACCATGAATCATTTGTAAAAAGCCTTGAAAAGGCTCCGTTTATTTGAGATGAAATGTTATACATGCCATAAAGTGAACATACCTAACGAATATTTTAACATTTCATACAGACAAGCTGTTTTCATTCCTAGACCAGTTAAGCTGGGTCTAGGAAGTTACTTATCAAACTGGATAATAGACAGTGTTCAAGAAGCTATGGTGACAAACAGTTAAGCACTCAGCCACTAACCAAAACACTGACTTGATGGAACCTAACAACAATGAGCCCGGGTATGGTGCTGTAGATAAAGCGCTGTAGTGGTAAACCACAAGGCTGGCAGTTCAAACCCACCACCCACTCTCAGAAACCCTCTACAGGGTCATCATGAGTCAGAACCAACTTGATGAAACACAAGAACAACAACACCTGGTGATATTTAATAGCATAACACAGAGTCACATGAGTTGTGTCTTAATTCTGTCTTACGTATTTTATTGTGTACCATAGAGACAAGGGATGTTTACTGTGTTGCATTTGAGGCAAGTGTTAGGGATGATAAATTCTCTAAATTAACATAAGAAGTAGATCATGGCCAGTGCTGCCTAAGTGTTGAGGACGCAACCATGGCAGCCATTACTGCTAAATTTTTAATACTCTTATATGACTGCCTGCTGCTCCCCTCTCCTCTTCAGGATCCATTTATCCCTACATCCCCAGAGCCTAGGGAAACACCTGGCAGAGAGTAGAATTAATTGAATGTTTGCTGAATAAGTAAATGAATGAATGAGTAGTTGACTAGGTAGACAAGGGGAGGGGTGGGAATTCTAGGTAAACTAAGTGTAAACAACGTTATGCAGGTACAAAAACTCATGTTATCTTTCTGAGAACAAGTGGTTTCCTGCACCAGTGAGAGGTCCAGTAGAAAAGGGGGTTGCTATAGGGGTACTGCTTTGATTTCAGGAAAACATCCCTTTAAAGTATCATGCTTTATCTTTAAAATCCTTATTATTTCATCTCCTAGTATAAAATATTTATTTTAACATTTAAAAAATACTTATAAGTTAGTGAAACTGAGACCCACACAAAGTTCCCATGGTTTTCCTATAATTTCTCAGCATAGCGTAGTGGTTCCGAATTGGGCTGCTAACCCCAAGGTCAGCAGTTCAAAACCACCAGCTGTTCTGTGGGAGAAAGATAAGGCTTTCTGCTCCCTTAAAGATGTACAGCCTCGGAAACCCTGCGCAGAGTCACTATGAGTCGGTACTTACCAACATCAACAACCTTCAAATTCTGTCATCTTCTCACCACTCCAGGTATCCTCCAGAGTATCCCAGTAAGAGAGAATTATGCAGGCAAAAGATTTTTTATAAGACAGTGGAAGATTAACCTTGAACACATATTTCATAAAAAGTCACTGTGTTTGTTTGTAGTGTGAATGAAGGCGACCCTATAGACAGATAAACACTTTAGTGCCTGTAGTCAGGGTCAGAAATGATGAGGGACTCTATAAAGTCTGACCCAAGAAAGAGGAGAGTCAGTAGGAAAGCTCTATCATCTCTTTGGTGTCGCTGCTATCTCTTAGTAGAAGGAAAATGACGCTTTCTGCTCTAGAAAAGATTTACAGCCTTGGAAACCCTATATGAGCTAACTATGAGTTGGAACCCACTCGACGGCACTCAACAACAACAAATAGCTCTTAATATTAAAACATCCAAGATGATGATCAAATATTGAGAAATTTTATTTCCAGACACAGCATCTGGAACATTCTTTTAAGCATTTGATAACAGGATAATCTTATTTTGTGTTAAGAGAGAAGATTTACAGAGAAGATCAACAGTATTACATTCAACAAACCGTATACTTTGTTTCATCTCAATGATTGCAATCCCTTCCATGTAATAATAAGAGTTCTCCTACTTGCTCCCTGTGGTTTGCCCTTAATTAAATATTGCCCTTTTGATATTGAATGTTGGACAATTCCATGGTGAGTATACCTTACTACTGTTGTTATTCTTCCTCTATGCCTTTCTATGGCTTGGCTGAAAATTGGGCCATGAGAGTGGTTTCTATTCCAGACCTGAAGGGTGGCCAAAGGCCATAGTCTTGGGTTCCTCCAATCTCTTTCTGACCAGTAATCCTGTTTTGTTGTTGTTGCTGTTCCACATTTTCTCCCATTCTGTCCTGGGCCTTCCAATGTGATCCCTTTCAGAGCAGGTGGTAGTGGTGGCGAGACACCATCTAATTCTTCTGATCTCAGAGTTGTGGAGACTGATGTTCACTTATTACATTAGTCCATTGTACTAATTGAGTCCAAGCAGCTTCAATTTTCATCTCTCTTCTTTCTTTCACCCTTGAAGAGACCAGTGTTACAACTTAGATGGCTGCACATGACCTTTAAAGACCCCAGTTGCTACTCACAAAAGTAGAATGTAGAACATCATCTTTGGGGACTATGTTATGCCGATTGACTATGATGTCCTCTGAGACTCTATTCCGATAACAGGATTATTTTATATCTCTTTTCTCATTTAGTGCTGATGAAGTTTCCAAATCATTGTTACCTCCAGAATTTCCACATTTAAAACGTTTAAATTGTCCTCTAGTCATGAAAAATAACTTGGTAATCAACTGAAGAGTTTATAAGTCCCTCTGTTAGACATGTGTGGAAATGCCCTCTGTGAGAGAATTCTCAGTTATTTGTCGTAGGCAGTCAGCAGTATTTTTTAAGTCTCATATTCTCGTTTCTTTTATTCCCTTAATAGGTTTGTATGCTAATCCTTTCTTCGTAAAAGAAGTCAAGATTTTGTTCACAGACCATTCATCAGTGAATTTTTAATACTCCTCAGAGCACAAATAGAGTAGTTATAAAAAAAAGAAGGCATAAAAGAAAACAATCTCTGCCCATGGTGTCTCCCTCACCATTTTGATCTTATCTCTGTTTCACTTTGAATGTGAATTAGACAATTACTCATTTGTCTCCAGAGCAAGAGTGGTGTTTTCAATGTAGGACCCATGTTGTTTTACATTTATTCATCAACTTATATATTTGTTTATTCATTCAACAAGCATTTATTTAGAGTTACTGTGTACTGTGCTAGCTACCTACCTACTCACTGCCCTCAAGTCAATTCTGACTCATGGCAACCCCATGTGTTTCAGAGTAGAACTGCACTTCACAGGACTTTCAATGGAAGTAAATGGTCAGGCCTTTCATTCATTGTACTGCTGAGTGGATTCAAACCACCAACTTTTCACTTAGTAGTCAAGAGCAGATAGATGTACTGGGCTAGGGGCTGGGAATTCAGAGATTTTCTGCCTCAAAAGCTGAGGAAGACAGACAGCTATAATGAACAGTGTGCAATGAAGTGTCAACTATTATACTATTACTCTACATAGACATTGAATTCAGAGGATGCCATAGTCAGAAACCTTCCCTACATTGGGAATTTGGGGTGGTGGTTATAAAGCTTGAGAAGTTTCCCAGGAGGAGGATAAGAATTTGGTGAACTGTACATATCAAAGAATTAATTGAAGTATGAAGTGTTCCTATCACTAATGCCTACTATAATGTATGGCACATATTGTTGCTGTTGGTAAATGCAGTCGAGTCAGTTCCATCTCATAGCAACCCTGTATAGAGCATCCAAGGAGTGGATAGTTTGAATCACCAACCTTGCGGCAGCTTTGACTAATTTGCAGTCGAATGTTCATCCTGCAGCGCCACACCAGGACTCCTAGCACTTATTAGGAATTTTTAAAAGTCTGGAATGGACAACTGACAGCATAACAGGAAATCAAGCAAGAGTAAATCTGCTGCTCAAAATTTCCCACAACAAATGCTTGCCTACTAAATTTTTGCCTTTGGCAAAATTCTAGTTTCTGCTTTTATTTAAATCACAGAAACCCCTTATATTGTCTAGTTTTATAGCCCAAGCTACTGTAATGCATTGACCCTTTTTGCTTTATTTTATATTACCGTCTCTATTCATTTGGAAGAAGTAGAAAACAACTCTCCTAAAAAAAAATGGTTTAACTATATTCCAGCTGGTCAAGACTGATAGTCAGTAGTGTACACCTGG